AGACTGAAGCCATGGCTAGAACCTAAAAAATGAGTATCTGGGGCACAAGAAGGGCAGAGACAAGGCCCTGGAGAAGTGTTATACTTAATAGTGTTCCTTGAGGGCACTACTTTTTTAATAAATCTAATTCAGTGACCAACAAAGATCAGTTTTCAGACCTCTAAGGATCAGTGAGAAGGTCTTGTTTTTCTTCTTCTTCTTCTTTTTTTTAAAAAAAATATATATATTTTATTGATTTTTTACAGAGAGGAAGGGAGATAGAGAGCTTGAAATGTCGATGAGAGGGAAACATCGACCAGCCACCTCTTGCACACCCTCTACCGGGGATATGCCCGCAACCAAGGTACATGGCCCTGACCAGAATCGAACCCGGGACCTTTCAGTCCACAGACCGACGCTCTACCACTGAGCCAAACCGGTTTCGGCTTGTTTTTCTTCTTAAATGTGACAAGAAGCGAAGGAAAGTCATCTCTTCCACTGTCTTGAAATCAGTCCCCCAACTTCAAGAAAATTGGATGATACCTCTCATATCAGTCAGGGTTCTTGAGAGAAACAGAGCCAGGTACTTGAATGTGGAGAGAGGGGGTGGGGGGAGGATTCCAAGGAATTGACTTATGTGATTGTTAGAATCCTAAGTAAAAAATTCATAGGGTAGGCTAGCAAGCTTGAAACTCTTGGGCAAAAACTGCTGCTGTAGTCTTGAAGCAAATTTCTTCTACCTCAGTTTTGCTCTAAATGTCCTTCAACTGATTAAAGGAGGCCGCCAACCCACATTTTGAGGATAATCTCTTTTCTTTAAAGGTTACTGATTGTAGATTTTAGCCACATCTACAAAATACCTTCACAGAAACACCTAGGTTAGTGTTTGAATAACTGCATTATTCAACACTATAGCCTAGCCACTCTGAATCATAAAACTAAAACCCCTGGTATGTGTGATCCTCTGATAGGCACAGGAGTGTTGAGAATTCCTACTCAAGTTTTTAGGAGAAGCAGGAGCAGATAGGAAGGGCAGGACTGTCTAACACCATGGTTGGCAAACTGCGGCTCGCGAGCCACATGTGGATCTTTGGCCCTTGAGTGTGGCTCTTCCATAAAGTACCACGGCCTGGGTGAGTCTATTTTGAAGAAGTGGCGCTAGAAGTTGAAGTTTAAAAAATTTAGCTCTCAAAAGAAATTTCAATCGTTGTACTGTTGATATTTGGCTCTGTTGACTAATGAGTTTGCCGACCACTGGTCTAACAGAAAAATCACTTCCTGGCCCTATTTTGGGAAACTCTCAATTCCATAGATGGTTTTATTGTTCACACTTCTCCCCAGATGAGCTCCACGAAATACACCAGAAACATTTTTTAAAAATATATATTTTATTGATTTTTTTTTACAGAGAAGAAGAGAGAGGGATAGAGTGTTAGAAACATCAATGAGAGAGAATCATCGATCAGCTGCCTCCTGCACACACACCTCCCTCCCCCAACTGGGGATGTGCCTGCAACCAAGGTACATGCCCTTGACCGGAATCGAACCCGGGACTTTTCAGTCCGCAGGCAGTCTCTCTATCCAGTGAGCCAAACCGGTTTCAGCTACACCAGAAACATTTTGACCTAGGATCAAGTAAGGGAATCTGAGTGACTTTCTTTTTTTTAATGAAAACAAAGACACAGACTACAATCTTCAAAAATAAAAAATAAAATTCATTTATTGAACAGGAAAAGTTTAACACATGATTCGTATGCAGAACCCAAAGCAATATCTTCTATTAGCTCCTGCATGATCCTCATCTCTACACATACCATGTGGCAACATACATTCATGTAGACACACAACATACACAGTACTGTGTGGTTATTAAGATCTGTTGGACAGTAATTTTCATACTCCTCTTATTCACACATCCACTGACACATTTGACAATAGTCACATATTTTTATCATTCACTAAAATAAAATAGCTTCCCCAGTATCACCTTGATTTAAATAAAACAGCACAGGCACCCTCCACCCTTATCCCCCCTTGTCCCCCACACACTCTGATAACCTAGTATCAGCACCATTTATGTCCCCTGGCCAGGGAATGACCCAGTGGTATACAAAGAACAGGGAAGAAATGCAACAAATTGATGCTGTCAGAGCAAACAGCCTTGCAGCCAGCAAGGCCAATTGCCTAAAAGTATCGACCATGATTTCAAAGACAAACCACGCCGTCTCCTCTTCCCCTAACAGTCTTGGAGATTTGTAATGTACTCTGGAAAATTTAATTCAACGGCAGACTTGGAGCTGACTCCCTAATCACCAAGTCGTGCTTCTTATACTTTGTGTCTCTGCTGTGAGGAGCCAGCTTTGCGTTCTGACCAGGGCCCGCTGATCAGCTATGAAATAAAACCCACAGATACAAACCCCCTTGCTGTGGATGGTGACTAGAGAGAGCTGTAAACAGACAATGAGATTTTGTACTTCCAAAAAAACATGAGGCAAACATTAGTGTTAGACACAAGTGATATTCTATAATTTTGGGAGAAAATGGAGGAGAAAATAGCAAGACAGGAATACAGGGATAGGGGGAAGATTTTCCTAACATTCCTATTTGAAGGGGTCATCACTTTAAGATAATTGCTAATATTACAATTTTTAACTTTTGTGAAGGTAGAGAGTGAGTAGTGAGCATCAGCCAATGAAGATGGCTGGAAAGTGAGTGACAGAGAAGGAGGGCGGGCATAGCTGCAGATTCTCAGCTATTGGCCTGCCATACATTCAGAGATATCTGGCCAAGGTTTGTGCAGATGAAGGGCTCCTAGTAGCTGGACAGCAGCACACAACAAATAATGCCACTTGTGAATAATGACAACTCTAGGCAAATTGAATAGAAGATGCCAGGCCATGCGCTTCCCAGCAAGCACCTACATTTAAGGGGAGGTACACTGCCGACCGGGAGCTGGAAACATGCTCCCAATAGTGGCATCTGCAGGACAGAACAAGGGGCTCTGAGCAGCCACCTCTGAGCTAATAAAAACCTGGTACTGCATTGGGAGAGGGGCACAGAGCCTAACAGTATTGGGCCAGAAAATCCAGGATTCGCCTTTGGTTTGGCAGATGCAGCCTCACACTCCAGAAACCTTTGCTCTGCTGCTCCTGATCAGACTGCTACTTATGCTGGAGCTTTGTTCCAGCAAGGCACGGGAGGAGGCGGGGCAGCTGTTCCTAAGGAGCAGTGAGAGGAAACCAAGGGCTCCTGCCTACAGGAGGCCCACAGGCAGCAGAAGAGGAAGCTTCCCTCAGCTGGCCCAGAGAGCTGGCTCCAGATGAGGAGGGTCCCTCTCCCTGCCATCCTCTGGCTGACCCTTTTACTCAACACCTAACTGCAGTGCAAGTACACAACCAGAAAGGCCCACTGACGGGATTCGCCTTGCCTGGACTTCTGAAGCAGCCAATCGATCAGGCTGTCAAAGCAGGAGCCAGGAAAGAGATCAAACAGGGTGAAGGCCATGCACAAAGCTCCCAAAAGCCCCAAAGCTGGAGCTGTCTTTCCTATATATCACGTTCTCTAGGTCAGGGACCCTGAGGCAATAGCCTGCATTGTGCTAAGACCAGAGGCCAGAGGACCTCAGTATTGTGCTATCCAGCCCTCATGTCCCAGCATCACAGTCCCAGTGTCACTGCCCACCTGGGCAGCTCCCTTCATGCACAGAAGCCTCCACCACAGCAGCTGCAGGCAGGACACACATCTGACCCACTCTCCTGGCATGCACCTTCTCACTGAAAACAGCTCTCAGGCCCACTGTGGGGAGACTGCCGGAGCCCAGGCTTGCAAACAGAACATGGTGATTCCTGAACCCACTCTGACAACCACTAAGCCTAAGGCTTTAGGGGGCAGGGCTGCTGCCACCTCCAGCTAGAATCTTGATCATATGAGCACCTGTTAGTGACCACCAAAGAGCAGGGACAGTGATGAAAAGTGTCATTACCTTAAGGGAGACCAAGACACCACCAATCTCATCTTCCTAAGTTAGGTAGCACAGGAGTCACTGCAATGAGAGAGTTTGGCTTTGGGAGAGAAAAAAAAGAAGAAATTGGGGCTGTAAAGGTGGGTCATAGCCCTTACGAGCTTTGGTGAAACACAAAACCCCTGATAAAATTGTGCTGCTCTCCCAACTTTCAGGGTGAACGATAACTCCAGGTAAGGAAGCAAGAGCTTGGTGACAGGAGTGGTCAGCAGGATCCTACCACATATGCATGAACACACACATACATAGACACAGCTCAAGAAGTGGTGTTAATGTCTAATACCCAGCCCCCCCGCCCCCCACCTCTGAGAGACTTCTCACACCAAGAGGGAAGAAGGGGCAGCCAAACTACAGGCCTTCTCTGTAGTTTGTTCCCAAATCTGAAGGCTGACCTAAAGGTGTGCCAACCCTGAGGCCATTTCTGATACTCAGGGGGAGGGACAGGAGTCACAATTAGTGTTTAGAACACAGGAGACCAAAATCCCAAGCAAGTGGTTCCTTTAGAGTCCAGGCCATGAAGGCAGCCAGGATGGGACAGAGTCTGCCCTATCCCCTGCTGATTGTAAACAACCAAGCACCACACTTAGTGTCAGATCAGGAGCTATCAATTCTCTGAACTTAATTTCATACTCTCTATGCACCATGACCTCATCATCTCATCCATGGCAACAGTGTGGGTGTCTTCCCAGCTCAACCGCATGCTGCCATGCTGTTTGCACAAAGCCACCATTTTATAAGCCTCCGTGGGCAGAAACACACCTCACTTAGCTGTCCTTTACCTCGGCCTCGTGCACTGGCAAATATTTCCCGAGTCCTTCCCGTCTTCTCAGTATGAAATCAGGCTGGCCAATGGGAGGCCAAGTCCATGCCTCCCACAGAGGTTCACAGTCAGATGCTCCTGATTAAAACCTGTGGGCTGAGGACCTGAGCAGACTTTTCCTGCAGCAAGTTTCTTTTCAGCAGGAGCAGCTCAGTACAGGTGTACCGAGGAAGGAACACGTCACGATCTAGAGAGTCTAAGAACAAAAGCTAATTTTAAATAAAATATAAATATTTTCAATTGAGGCAGCACTTGATATTTTTGGGGAGCTAAAGCAACTAAGAATATAGTATTGTGACCCACACAAGGAGTCAGAGAGGAGATATTGCCAGTCACAGCAAGCCAGAGAGAGTAAAAATTAAAAACTCCAGCTTTGGGCGCTGGTTTTAAACTACTAGGTAGATCCAGACACCTGCTGGAGACTTGAAAGGTAGGTGAATATTGAGGTAAAATATTGGGGAGAGAGGTGAGAAAGAGATAGGCCCGGCTTTCTAAAGAGAGGGAGTTCTCACTTATTTCATCTAGGCCTGGACCAGAAAAGGAGACGCTAAAATTTTTAAATAAAGTGAGCTGTGCAACAAGAATAATTTGGGGGAGGTGGGTCAGAGGAGAGAGACAAGTAAGGGAGGAGGCATGACGAGGGAAAACTGTTGTAAAGTTCTGGGTTAAAGCAAGTATATGAGCAATGATGGCACTGCCACTAAAGGTACCTCCTGCATATCCGCTACCCATTCTCCTGCTTGCCCTCAGGTCTGGCCCAGGGCACCTAGAAGCAAGGTAGCAAGGTTCCTGAACAGCAACCTTGATTTCCCCCAGAGCCTGGACCCTCCCTGAGGCTCTGGAGCCAGTTGCTAGGGAACACACAGAGGTGGGGTGAGCAGGTGCAGAAAATACACCAGAAAGCTATGCAAAGGCACTGGTGGAGTTGATAATACTGGGAGCAGCGCTTGGCTGGATCAGCTCGTAGAGAGCCTCATATGTCCCCACCACAAAGCCCACGAAGCCCAGGATGCTGATCAGGGCGTCCTTGGCGATGGTGAGGGGGCTCAGGCCCTCTGAGTAGTAGGTGGTGATCTCCAGGAGGGGTGGGATGATGAGGGCCAGGGCGCTGCTGCTCACGGAGCCCACTAGAGAGATGACCAGGTCCAGGCGGGGGATGAGGATGGCCAAGATGCCTGTGGGAGAGAGGACAGGGATATTCAAGACTGCCCAGAACTGGAAAAGACCTCACTATTCTATTTTTTAGCAAGTGTCCTTCTCATAAAATGGAGAACTCTAGGGAAACTTAGACATTATCCAGCCCAATCTTTTAATCCACAGATGAGAAATAAATGCCCAGAGAGGTGGAGTAACCTGGATCTCAATGCAAGATCAGCAAAACTGGAACTGGAACTCGTATCTCCCGGCCCTAGTCACTTGGCTATCACTGTGCATCACTTCCATCACATGACATTCCAGGGCAAGCTGGTCCTACTAAGGGAAAGAGTGTAGAGCAAAAAGGAAGTGGGCCATATCTGAGCAACTGCTCCCTCGCTTACCCCTGAGGATGCCTCTAACGCAAACATCTCTACTTGACTGACAAGAAACAAAATAGGGGGGGGGAAAACCTTCTTCTGGAACGGTACTATGATAAACCCCATTTCACAGAGCACGTCCATACATGGAAAGTAGAAGTACAGTCAAGACTCAGTTCTTGAACAGGTCGTAAATGAGGAACTAAATTCATATCAATTTAAATAGTTGAGGACCATGCATGGGATCCCACAGCTGCAGAGTATGTATGAGACAGGAGATGTGAATCTGCTGGCCACATTTCAAGGACTTTCCAGCCACCTGTGCCTTGTGACTCCTGTCCTGGACAACATAGACCGGAATACTTCCAACACAGTAGAATGTCTGGTGCAGTGATTTTCAACCTTTTTCATCTTATGGTACTCATAAACTAATAAACTCATAAATAAACCCATAAACTAAAATTCTGCCAGCACACCAAAAAATACATTTTTTTTGCCAATATGACAAAAAAAATATATAGGTATGATTTTAGTTTATTCACACTGAACAGATACTGTTGTGTTGGCTCTCATTTTTTTTCCCTGTTAATCCTCATCAAAAGATATTTTTTTCTAGTGATTTTTAGAGAAAGTGGAAACGGCACAGCAGAGTGAGGGATGGTACTCCTCGCCTCGAACACACGGTTGTGCCAAAACAGCTCCTCGCCCTGATTTTGTACCATTAAAGGGAGTGTTATTCCTCTGGTACCAATCCCTGGTTTCCATGGCTGCTCCACTTGCTTAAGAGAAGGGAGGCCTTTATCTGGGACAGTGAGCCCTGGGAGGAGACAAGACAGATGACCTGCCTGGCTGGCCCCTTCCCAGCTCCAAGTCTGCCATTTCCTTTCCATCTCTCACAGTAATCTGAAGGACAGATGGACATTCATGATATGAAGTCAGATGTGCTCCATCTACTCTGAGATAAGAATTAAGTGGAAAGAGAAATAGAAGCTTGTGTGATCAGAATCTTTTCTCAGATTGAACAGAGATGTTACACTTCATCATGACATTTTTAAAAGCAATCTAAAAATATGTTCTTTTTTTCTTCTTCTTACTGCTAAGGATAAATAAGATAAGCATATTTAACAAAAATGTCCTTAACAGAATTTTTTCAAAACAGGCAAAATTTTTCTCTTAAAGCCAGGACCACAGGGTGGCAAAAGACTCTTTTTCTATTCTAAATGAACCAGATTCCACAACTGAATCCTAAGTAAAGCCTGGCATTGGAGAAAGATAATGGGGGAGAAGGCAAGAAGAATGAGCCTCCCACTAATCTGGGGGAAGAGAAAGAGAAGAGAACCCAAAGTAGCATAAAGCCCCAAGGGTTCAACAGCAAGGATATCTGTTTTGCCACCATGCAAAATGTGGCAAACTAGTTTTAACTATAATAATTCCAGAGGTAGAAACCAGGTACTTAGGAAATATATGGAAGCAACTAAAACTTTTAAATGTTCTTATGAGTTAAAGCTCTCTAGAAAGAGAAACTCAAGGAGGTAGAGATCTCAGGATATAGCCAACTGGAACCACCCTCTCCCACTCTCTCTGCACTTTCCCAAAAGAACGCCCCATAAAAGAGGAAGATAGCACACTCCCAACTGCAGGACATAGCTTGCTGAAGCAGCAACAGAAAGCGGGGCTGAGGACAACTCAGCTGGACCATGTGATCAGTCAAGAGGCTCCAATGGTATTACAAAACATCTTCCCTTTGGGTTAAAAAGACTACAAGCGTGATCTAACGGCTGAAGTAACATGAGACAAACGGCCACGTTCAGAGCAGGAACCGATTGGGATTCTGAAGTCTGTGGTTTTAGGCCAGCAACAGAAAGAGCTGACTAATGCACAAGGGAGAAAGAACTTAAAAGAACAAATACACACTTACAGAAATATGATCTAAAATCATATCCCAGCTGGACACTTACAGCTCTTGGGTCTGAGAGCTCTTTTCTGCCATTTTATTATGATTGATTGTGGGAAAGCCCACCCGTGTTACTCTTAATCTAGAAATCTACCTTTAAATTAATTATAATCTTAGAATATATAGTTTTATTTAGTTGAAATATAAATTTAAAAAAAATACAAAAGCAAGAAAAACAACCTAAATGTTTAATACTAATGGAGTAGTTTAGAAAATATGATCCAGCAATATAATGGAATACCATACAGTCATGAAAATATTTATGAAGGTTATGCATATTCATGATATAATATCCAATAAAATGCAACAAAATTATGTGTATATTATGATTGAAACTATTTTTTAAATGCACCCATGAGGATTCATGCAGAATATGCAAAAGAAAATTATTTTGTTAAGTCAGTGGGATATTGGGAATTTCTTCCTCAAAAATCTCAGATATAAACATTCTCCAAATATCTTTACACTAACTTTATTTTTTCAAGCAATATTTTGGTCAAAATCTAAAATCAGGCTCAAAGTAGCTGTACAGAATCACAACATTTTAAACTTGAGAGAAACCTTAGTGATCAGATGCCCGTCATATCTTATAATTGAGGCCTAACGAGGATTCCCGGAGCTGGGGCCCAGGCACAGCTAATTTATGCTGCTTCCTTCTTCATTTAGCTGCAAGACCAAGAAGTATGGAAGGCCAAAAGTTGCAGAGAAGCCACTGTGGATTTGGAAGCTTTATACTCTAAAGGGTCTGGCTCCTGGAATGTTTTATAAGTATGTACTGTAGTCTGAACAGGCCTCTCAGTTGATATGATTTTATGTTATTACATCTCAACAATAGGTTTCTGAAATTCTCAAAGCTAACTGAAGTGAAATGTTTCACATCGCAAATACCATAGACAATTAGTACCAACCACTGAAGGACAGGTTAGTGCCTCATGGAATCCTAAAAAAGTATTTTTCCTACACCTCTTGGCTCCCCAGATGGAGCCAGCCTCTCCTACACAAGCTTGGACATAAGGTGACCTGCAGAGTTGACATTTATAAACATATGGGCTGAAAGTATTATAAATACTGAAATCATAGCAAAATGAGCACCATTCTCTGGCATGCATGTTTTTCCCAGCCTCTCCTCCCCAGAATTCTAAAACTTAACATAAAAAAGTAGACAGAGCGCCCGGCCAGTGTTACTCAGTGGTTCAGCATCGACCCATGAACCAGGAGGTTGTGGTTCGATTCCGGTCAGGGTACATGCCCAGGTTGTGGGCTCCGTCCCTGGTGGGGAGTGTGCAGGAGGAAACCAATCAATGATTCTCTTTGATATTTCTATCTCCCCCTTCCTTTCTCTGAAATAAAAAAAAAAAAAATGTATATTTTAAAGTAGAGCCATCTTTGAGGGATAGAGGAGAGTGATGAGAAAGTTTAATTTCAATTGGATATAAAAAATTTGAGGCTGGACCAAATTGCCCTGCTTCCCTGGAGGAAGAAGAGGAAAAATTGAGGCGAAGTCTCAGAAATAAAAATAAAACAAGTTGCCATTAAAATGCAGAGGTATCACTGAAAATAATGAGTTACTTCAAAGCTCTAAACTCACATACCAATTAACCTTATGCAAAAACATCTGAAAGTACAAAGAAACAAAAACAAAACAAACTCACATAAATTCGTTTAAATTGGTGCTACAGTGAAAGGCCTCTGCTGAATCCCACAATTACTTCAGAGTCTCCAGGGAAAGCTGGGGAAGCCAGAGTGCTCAGAGATGAAGGGGCTGCATCCCTTAATAGGATGACAATGCAATGCTAAGTCACAAAAGATCACAGAAGGAAAAAAACAACTGAACGCGCCTAAAGATCAAAAGCAGCTTGAGTCCTTTGAGTATCATGCTGTAGAAGAAAGATGAGACCCACTGACACAGCCAAGAAAAGTGAAGCAAAAACCAAAGGCATATAAGGACAGCATGAGGCCTGTGAATCAGAGACTGGTGGCTCCTGCAGGGAGCAGCAGAAAGAAATCTGGCAGGAAGCAGGACATATGCTACTGAAGGCTAAAGCCAGACTACAGAAGGAAATGAGGCCGCGAGAGGAATCTGGCCCAGCGTCACTGCCCAGCTCTTCGGTCAGGGAGAGCTACTATCTATGCAGTCACAGCACAGTTCATCCCAGACAGACCTAAGAGGAACCACTTTGAAACAAAGCAAATCAGGTGAATTATCTCCACCCTTTCTCCCAATGCCCTTTGGATCAAAGAATTGGGGCCCTGAGAGTTGACATTATAAACACCTGCATGTGGAATTTGTCTCCTCAATACTTAAGGCTAATCCATCCACAAAAAAAACATACCTATCTGAACCAAAGCATCCGCAGTTGCTGACAGAAGACAGGGGTAAAATCTAGAGTCCAAGAATCCTATCAGCACACATTAAGGCAATTTACTGCCTTAAAAAGCAAAATATATCACCTTCCTTCCTTTGCAGTAGCTCTGGGCCAGCAGTGACCTGTGGGCTTCCCTGGATCAGCTACTGAGTGTGTTGTTTCTATTGAGCTGGACTAGAGAGAGACTGAAGGTCTACCAAGTAAAGGCTACAAGGAGATTCAGATTCTTGCTTGCCATCAGCTCTCTGAGCCTGGAAAAATCAAGGTGTCCACCCTCTGCCCAATTCCTTTCCAGCTCCACCCAGATATAATCCTCCAGAGTGCTGTCTAAAATTAAATCAGAAAACCATAAGGAAAGGCCTTTACTTCCTTACTCTAGCGGGTTCTTTCCACACAGATATCCAGAATGATTAGCTTCTACCCACTATCCTTGAAGTAACATAAAGAAGAACTGCAGGTGGCTTGAGGAGATCCAATTTGCAATATCTCTAGGCCTGTGGTCGGCAAACTGCAGCTCGCAAGCCACATGTGGCTCTTTGGTCCCTTGAGTGTGGCTCTTCCACAAAATACCCCAGCCTGGGCGAGTCTATTTTAAAGAAGTGACGTTAGAAGAAGTTGAAGTTTAAAAAATTTGGCTCTCAAAAGAAATGTTAATCATTGTACTGTTGATATTTGGCTCTGTTGACTAATGAGTTTGCGACCGCTGCTCTAGGCTATTCTCTTGAAGATGTCTATCCTCAGGTAGGCACTAGTCTGTTCCCTTGAAGGGGTCTATCCTGTGATAGGCAATTGTCTGTTCCCCTAACAAGATCCATTCTGTGAGGTCTGTTCTCGGAGAGGCACAAGACTGTCTCCATTCAAGATCCATTCTGTGAGGTCTGTTCTCGGAGAGGCACAAGACTGAGGAGTCCATTCTGAGATAGGCACTAGGCTGATCACAACATTTTACTTGGATGGTTGAAGAGGATGGATAATCTCCTGCCTGCCCTTCTCTTACTAACAGGCAACCAATAAAATAATTTCTGATTTCCCATACTATGAATGAAAGCCAGACAACATCCACAAATTTCATCCCTAAACACTCAATTCTGGTTCAATTAAAAAATCATAGAGTCCTAAATTTATTCCAAAGATGAAATGAATAATATTAAAATTTCTGGGGAAGTCTCAATGTATTATGAAAAATCATCTTGTCCCAAAAGAATAAAAATTTAAAAAATAAAATAAAAAGCCAATATAGCCTAAAGAGAAATATATGATTTAAGAATTTCAATTTGAAAAGCAACTACAAATCTCCTAGTAATTTAAATTAAATGGTACAGATCAATTCATTTGGGGTTCTCTATTGTATCAACTCACATCATTTGAAAAAAGTAGAAATAATTTTTGTTTTAAATTTATACCAGTTTCAACCAACAGCAAATAGGATGAAATTTTACCTCTTAATTCACACCCTTAGATGTGTGTTCCAGAGAAGAGAAATAAAACACAAAGTGATCAATCAAACACCTGGTTAAACAACAGAAAATTTTCTAAGAAACCTTTATGTAGACCAATATCCAAAAATGTCTAGAGGAGTATCACGCAGCTGAAAGGAAATCTAAGGAACAGACTGTCACTGCAAAAGTGATCATTTGAAAAAACAAGTAAACATGTACCACCTATCAAAGTAACCTGTACTCACTGGTTATGAATATGGTGAAATAGCTCTCTTTTAGGCTTTTACTGTATTTTATATGGAATAGTAATTATACATCTTTACTATGACTTTTGACCACCTCCGTAGCATTTCACACCATATTGATAAATAAATGTCAGTTCCCATTCCCATGTACTATATAGTGCATATGTCATTAATTCACCTAACCATCTGGACACATCTCAACTCTGAAACAGGAGCGTGCCCAGCCTCTGGTACACCCACACTGGCAATTTCACTACAATGTAAACTCTCCCTCATGAAAGCCCTTTTGGGAAAAAACAAACAAGGCAATTCTCCCATGTCCTACTCACATGTCAAGCAAACCAGCATGGTGCGCACCAACAGGTCCACCACCAGCTCCCAATGCTCAGGCACGCGGGACACGAAGAAGGGAATGATGATCTCGGCTGGGACGAAGAACTGGATGGCATAGGTGAAGAAGATGCCAATGGAGTAGAGCAACTTCACCGACTGATACAGCCTGCAGAGAAAGCCCAGACACATTCAAAAGCCGCTCCGCACACTCTTATAGTAGTAGGCATAGTGCAAAATGGTCCGGTCCCATTGTGATTTGACCATATCTATCCAAGCTACAAATGCATGTGTTTTTTGGACCCAGCAATTTCATATCTAGCAATTTATCTTGTAGATATATTTGCACATGTGCACAGAAACTTATATCACTGCTTTATTTAAGCACAAACGACTGAAAACGGTTTAAATGTTAATCAGTGGAGAACTGGTTAAATATATCATGGTGTCCCCATATAGCAGTTAAAAAGCGTGAGGCACAACTCACATGGGATTAGCTTTATGATATACTATATGAAGCAGTACAGTGTCTACAGTGTGCTGCAATTTGTTTAAAAAGAGAAAAACTACTGCCCCTCACAGACACACATGTAACACTCTTACACACATGAAACATCTCCAGAAGAAAACGTTGATATGGTTGCCTCTGAAATGGAAAGTTGTAGAACTGGGGAGTATAGGAGGTGAGTGGGAACTTAACCTTTTCTGTATACCTTTGAACATTTGGAATCTTTACCAGAGGCATATATCCTTTCAAACATAAAACAATTAAAAATACAAATAAATATAACAAGCCTGTTTATTTATATCCTCCCCATCCAATTCAGAGCTCTCTAGAATCAGATGGTGACCAGGAGGATCAAGAGGCAGAGCAGAATTCATCTTTCCACCCACTGCAGCCGTCTTCCTACCACTGCTTCATGTGCAGCTTCTTAAGAAGACCATTAAGAAGACTCATCGGGAGATACCTCTGTCTACCCCATGCCTACGACTATGCAGAGTAGAATAAAAGCCTTACAAGCATTTATGGATCTCACATGACCATTAAATGGAAGACCGCTCTGTCCCTAAGCAAAACTCCATGTCAAACAAGACCCTCAGGGGTTGAGCAATGAGAAACACAGGCCTCCCTCCCTTGTTGGAAATCTATTTAAAAGTGATATTGTATATAACATGCACTGAATTTCTCTGTGGTTGAACTTAATACCTGAAACATGTTCTTATGCTAGAAGCAGAAAACCCCAGGAGAGACTGAGTTTGACAAAAGGTCTTACTTGCTCTAAGAATAGATAATAAAAACTCTTTGGGAAAAAATCAGCCAATGGCTCTATAATTAAACTCAGGGCAGCACCAAAGCTTGCTGGAGTTCAGGGAAGTCAGGAATCAGAATAGCCACCCACAGGCCAAATAAATTGCGCCTGAGTTGAGGCAGAAACATTAGAATAGATGGGTTCAAAAATCTCAGAGGAAAGAAGACAGATGCCCATGGCTTTATATTATGTGGGCTGCTTCTGCTGCTCCTGATCCACTTATCTTGTTATGCCGAGCTACCACCTGATTCTCGATAGGAAATGTAAAAGCAAGCATCAGAGGGAAAGATACAGAAAGAGTTTCTAAAAAACATGACCCATTTCAGGCTACCAGTTAGCTGGCCACATAACAAACTTAGCCCCTAGATCCCTGCTGATTAGGGTATCCTTTGCTAAACACAGACTACTGAATAAACATTTTTCTCAATTTTCTCAAGTTGCCCTTGCACAATGCCTCACCAATCAGAGCTCTAAAAAACACACAGGCCACGAGATCAACAGGCCATCTCGAAAGGTTATTCTGATCCCCAGGGCACTCAGCAAGCATCTGTGTCTGCTCGCAGCTGCACTCCATAATGAAATTTTAATCTTCAAAACAGAACTGTTGCTTAGGAACACTCTGTGACATCTACCTTTTTAGGAAGCATTCAATATGTCTGTTTCCCTATAATACAGCAACCAAAAGTTAAGGAAAGTGAGATATAGAAGGGCCCCAACAACCGTTGGTCCAAGGTGAGAGGCCTCCATGTGCATATCAAATCAGTGACTGCATGGGAGAGGCTGGAGACTAAGCAGATATGCCCTATCTCTATTTGGACTGGTTTAAGGTGAATAGACTAGACACTTGGCCCTTGGAGTTTCATATTTCCAGGGAAAAATAGTATATCAATCAGTTTATCAACCCATACATTCAGGATATGCCTCCATAGGAATTACCCAAACAAAGACTAAAGCTAGGGCAACATTCTACTTCTCCATGACACCAACATACTATTACAAAGCTCTTTCTCACGCATATCATTTGATATTCATAGCAATCCTGGCAGGAAGAAATGACTATTCCTCATTCCCAAAAGAGGGAACAGAGGCAGCAAGAAGCTGTGATTTGTCCAAGGCCACAGAACTAGTACATGGCAGATTACCTCTGTCCTCTACACCCCAGCTGCTTCATGATAACATCATCTCATGTAGAAAATGCTTCAGCCTCAGCATTTATTCCTCCTTTTTGTCCAAAATCATTCCCTGGGTGATGATCACACCAAGTGCTTGGATAAAATGGAGAAATGGACGGCTGCTGCCCTCATACAGCTTACAGTACAGGCAGATGAACCATTACAATGCAAAGGAATAAAAAGCCTATTGGGAACTTATAGGAGCAGAGAGAAGGGGCATCTCACTGAGACTTGAAGTGTGATCAGTGAGATATCAGTTTCTCAAAAAGAGCAACTCCTATACCAAGTCCCCCTCACTGAATGGGAACCGGACAAGGCACATTAAGAAAGGCAAGCGGAAGCCTTTGAGGAGCTCTCCACAAGGTATGATCGGACTGAGTGTTCTCTCCAATGCATGACTGCACTGAGCATCAGGCAGCTCACACAGGTAACAAGGAGGAGCCCTGATGTGGAGAAAGATTAAGATACAGGCAGCGCGCGATAGGTCTCCTCTTCCACTCTATCTAAAAGCAATGGAAAAATATCTTGGGTGAGGATTCACACACACACACACCAAAAAGAATTAAAGTGAAGCAGGCTGACTTAAGAGATAAGTAAGAGGAAGAATCTACATTCTGACCTATTAGAGTGATTTAAAAAAATATCTAGTGTTCTGTGGCTTCCATCCTCACCCACTTACCAGCAGTTGGGCAGGTTGAGGGTTATGCTGCCTTGAATATCAGCTCCAAATTGCAGGTACCCCAAACATCCCAGGCTGATGTAGAGGGTAGTGACAATGGCCATTCCCACATATAGTATGACTGGAAATTTCCGGGGATCCTTCATTTTGTTTTCAAGAGGCAGAACCTATGAGAGTAGTGAGAGAGAAGAGAAAACACAGCAAAGACCAATATTAATGGCCAATAAAAAAATGTAGTATTTTCAGAAAAAAGTAATTTCTTTATCCTTAGAATTTCCCAAAAGGACATCCATCCTTTATTAGACAGACAAACAAATAAATGCAAGTTGTTTCCTCAGTAGCTCTTCTCTCAGAGCTTGAGACATAGAGCCCATAATCTCAACAGAGAAGTCCTGAGAAGTTAGGGTGGCGAGACTGGAACCCTAGACCCCTGGTCCAGACTAACACCCTGCCTCCTGCTCTGAGATCACTGTAGGCTGAGAGTTCTTTTGCCTTTGAATGCAGCCACCGGTAACTAACAGACCCTTTTGCATCATACCCACCTGGATCAGATGCCGGTGATGACATAGGTCAGTTGTAGCTCACCTGAGATCATACTTTGCTAATCTGTCTAAAGAATACAACACACAGGTCAGGGAAAACGGCCACTCTAGTCCACAGAAATGGTTTCCTTACCTCCAAAGGGGTAGACACCAGCAGTGACAGTTAAACCTCCAAGTTAGAAGAACTGAGGTGATGCATGACTTAATAGAGGATCTTGTTTATTCAGAATCTTGGAGATATATAATAAAACCCAGTTTCTAGACTCCTATTTCAAACCATTGACCCTTGCCGTCTCCTCCCTCACAGCACAGGACATTCTAAAGCAAAGGAAAGATTAGGAAGACTGGTTCACTTAGAACAGGGAAGACAGCAGGTATGATTGTGACAATCTTCACAATCTGCCATCAACTGCTTCTGGCATGACTGACAAGGAAAAGCAGCACAATGCAATGACTACAAACTATCTCTGACCTTGTCATTACACTGATTTGCCTCCAGTGCTTGTGGCCATGAGGCAAAGCAGGTCTGTGCCAGACACACCCCAGCAGACGCCACGAACCAAAGCCTGTGCTCTGAGGGGAGCAACAGCTCTGCATTTCCAACTGGCTTTCAGCAACCCCCATCCTACCAGCTCAAGGTCTCAAGCTATAGTAGATCCATATGCAATAAGAGTCAGTTTTTAAGCTTTCCTTTAGCTTCCTCCTATGAACAGTCTAAAGAGACAGAGGGCAGGAAACTTTCTCCTCCATGTCTGCCAGACATGCTCAACAGTCCTCAAATCCAAACTAACAGTCAAAACAGCAGTGTTCTCTCTTGTAAAAATAGAAAACAGAAACATCTTGAAGTAACAGATGATTGTGATTACAGAATGACTCCATATTCAAGTCGTGGCTAATGAAATGAAGCAAAGAATAACTTCTGCTCTGTACTATTAGGGAAAACTAATAAACTCAGTACAATGCTCTCTGAGAACCCAGGACCTCCAGGCATCCTTCCACATTTACTCAACCTCTTCTTCCCACTCCTGCCACTTTCTCACTGTTGCAATATGGGGCCATTTAGGCCTCTGCCCCAGCAGCAGGGAAACAAATGGTGTTTGTGAATCAAGGTGAGACATTCTTCCTGGATGATGAGAAGCCCCGAAAAGGAATACAGGAAAAGTTTAAAACCCCAGGACAACCTCTACACAATCACTCTGAAAGCCTCCCCCATAATGTTAGAGCCTTCACACAGTCCATCAGCACTACTTCCTCTCTATTTTGACAAAAATTTGTCAGGCTCCTACCGTGTTTCCCCGAAAATAAGACATCCTCCGAAAATAAGACCTACTTACAGGTTTCCTTCTGAGTGAAATATAAGGCATCCCCCCGAAAATAAGTCCCCCCTAGGCTAAACATGCGATTTTGTCTACTGATTCTGAAAGAAATGGAGTCACAAGAAATTCACCAGGAAATTCAGGAATTGGATTGTTATGATGACGTTCCAGAAGATGATGACATGATTGTCATTGAATAAATGAGTAAATTCTTGATACTGTAGGATTCACAGTTTGTCTGGTTTGTGTTGATGACTACCATACTACCGTATCGTATACAGGTAATAAATTTCCTTTATTTTCATTTAACAATAAATGTGTACCGTATTCTTCTTCATGGAAAAATAAGACATCCCCTGAAAATAAGACCTAGCACATCTTTGGGAGCAAAAATTAATATAAGACACTGTCTTATTTTCGGGGAAACAGGGTATTTTGAGTTAAATTTGCCATCACCTGAAACCAGAAGAATCTAGATTGACTTTGATACCTAGCCAGGTATTTGTCTATTTCCCACCTAGTTGGAGGACTTCCCAAGGGCAAAGACCATATCTCATTTAACACCATAGCCCAATAAGGTAGATTATGTGCTTGGCACAGAGTTAAGGTAACTTCGCAAGTTTATTGATTTAAAATAAAACTGATATCAGTAATAAAAATAAAAATTATTCAATGCTCATCATATGTCAGAGACTCTGTGAAGCACTTAACATATATCTCACTTAATCCTAATAATTACTAATCATTAAAATCACTTTTCAGAGGCAAACAGTGAAGGTCAGATAGGATAAGTCCTTGCGCAAGGTCACTCAGCTACTCTCTGGCAGGAAGACTCTACATTCCAGACCCTACATTCCTAATTGCCATGTACTATTGCTTAGTACACATACAGAAGATGGGTGTGCAAAAGTGCTGGTTTGAATGTAAACATTCTCAAATTGCATATAATTTATTTTCAAAAGTTGGAGCTGAGGAACTTCAATGAAATCCATGAAGTTCTGTACACTAACTGGCCATTAAGTCTCAGAAGATTATTTCTAATAGCTTCTCCTCAGCATTCCTTAAAGCATTCCCCAAGGACACCAAGGACACCAGAGAATCACAGCGCAGCTCTTACCATCCCGATGCCTTCAAATGCAAAAATGGCCGTGCCAAAGAACAGAGGGTAGGTCTTCCAGGGTGCTACCAAGGGGAGGCGCCTGGGGTCTGGGATCCCCTAAAAGAGAGAGAATAAAACAAAGCAAAAGCTATATGAACAGAGCTTTGAGATTTGAATCCCAACATCAGAGAGGTCACACCTTTCTTAATCCCTAGGTTTTCTGAAGGTAGAAAGTCTGACACCTGACAGATGATTGGGGAACATTTAGCCTGTATATATTTTTCCCTTCAGGATGAGAAAACCCACTTGGTTTGGAAGAGGACTAGCCCAATGTACCATAAAAAAATTCAAATGTCAAAAAAACTCAGCAACACTCAAATGTTGAAGCCTGCACAAGAAAAATCACATTCTTTTCATAGGTAATCCCATCCCTAGAAATTTAATCTGATCAGGAAAAGAAAAAGCAAAATATAGAAAAGTTGAACAAAGTTATTAGTAACTAAAAATGACCTAAATGCTCCCAAACAAGTGAACATTTAGTTTACTCAGATCAACTATGCCATAGAATATCACACTATTTAAAAAATAAAATCTAAGATAACTAAGTAGTACATGAAAAACTACTTATGAAATAATAGTAAAATTTTTTTAAATTTATATATTCACTATGCTACAACTACATGAACACTCCACACAGATAAAGCTGGAGGGAAGATGGTAAATTTTTAGATGCGTTTTTTCCTTTTTTTCTACATTTCTTTCTTTGAAAAAACAACAACATATAAATAAGTTTGAATAAGTTTGAGTACTTGGAAAATATTGATAGGAGTATTGAAACATTTGTGGGGGGGGGGGAGCCATCTTGGATCCCCCCAAATGTAAAGAATTTTAAAAATACTTTTTTTTCAGCTGCTGCTAAGAAATCAGTTAGATCTCTTCACAAGAAGCAATTCAGTAACTGGAATGATGACAAACAATAAATATTCTTGCTCTGCAATGAGACAAGAGAGTGAGAGTGCCCTGCAATTATTCCTGAGTCACAGTGCAACTTAAAGTTTCTAGAAACATGAGCAATCTGTTGGGAAGGGGATGACTACTGCTCAAGTTTATACATCAGATCAAGTTGACGTATCAGAGAGGAAATTTCAGAATGTATGTCTAGGGATACTGTGTGAATGAGACCAGCAACAGGAATTTAAAATTCTACGTAGTTAATTGCTATTGACCTATAGCACAACCAACTAAATGTGAAAAAAGTTTATGCAAAGAAATGTACAAATTAAAATCAGTTCACTATCAATATGTCTCCACAATTCTATACTACTATCAATGATATTAAGTTTTTTGAGAAAGCGCTGTTAAATGTATGTAAGGACTACAAGATGTACTCCATGTTTGGAAACATTACAAGTGTGAGAAAATGCATCTCGGAATTAAGGATATGCAGTGATAAAATATTTATTGGGAGATCCCTTCGGCAAGGCATTCTGCTCAGAAATGCACTGCCATCCGTTCGTTCCAGACCTCAGTCAGCTTCCTATGATGGCATGTGCATGAGGAACAAGAATCACAATACATACTAAATGCAAGGATTAGGTCAAAATTCAGGAATATCAAACAGCAGTGGAATCATCATGGTAAACAGTGCAAAATGTCAGGAGAGGACAAAATTAGCAGCAGCAGGAACAACAAAAAGGACCCAAAGGGAACATGTTTAGCTATGTGCCACGTCAAAATGAAGCCACTCAACACAGCACTCTCTCATGCTGTACCCAGGGCAGATAGCACTACTTGATCACAACATACCTCCAGGCTGAGTCGAGAGGCAGGCTCAGAATTGCTCTCAAGCAATGAGCAAGACTGCCTCACCAAAGTGCAGGTTGTACTGTGCACAGACAAAGCTCTAGACAGACACTTCCTGCAGTTGGGACTGAGATGCTATCACAACTCATATTCCCAACCCAGCCCTCTGATCGTGGCATCGACCACAGTCCAACTACCTGCACGGGTTTATAATTGAATGTGGTATGTGTGTCACACACCTCACCTTTAATGTCCACTGCAAGTGTTTCCTAGTCAGCGATTGAGATCTCTAATTACAAAGTTAAATCAAGAATTTATCTATATTTCTCTGCTTTAACTTAATTTGCCAGAGGTGGGACGGGAGGAACTCTTTGGAAATGATCCATCATGTATTCACAGGCCCTTTTCCAGACTCATAATAAAATGGGACATGGAGAGATGCTTATGTTTTAAATAGTAATTCTGCAATAGAGTCAGCATCTGCCATCCTTCTGACTTATGAGGGCAAGGAAAAAACAGTCATACTCATTAAGTCCAATTTAAACTCACTGTCATTTCTTCAGTACAGGAAGTCCCTCCTTTTTATGACCCACTGTTTTCCTAGAAACCACATCAGTAGGTAACTGTTTAAAAATGAGGCAAAGTTCACCTATCAAACTGTCGAAATTAAAAACTGATATATCCAGTGTTGGCTAGAATAGGAAACTTAGGAACCATGGAAAGGAGTCAGTATGAAATCAGTAAATAGTGCTTAGAAAAAGCAACTTGGTTAATATAAAAATTTCAAAAATGCAAACTCTTCAGCAATTTCTCCTCTGGATAAATGTCTTGGAGGTGTACTTGTACATGCCCACAAAAAGGAAGGTATAATAAAATGCACTGTCAAAATACTGAAAAAATATTAAAATCTATAAATGATCTGATAGTCCACTGACTGAGGACTGGTCAAATAAACTAAGGCAGCATCTATTTTCTGAGATAATGTGTAGCAATTTAAAAAAATGAGGTAAAATCAGGTTTATCAATTTGGAAAGCTCTCTCAGGCACTATTGAGGAAAACAAACCAAAATAGACGAAAACTACATATAATAATCTATTTATGTATGTTTAAAAAAAACAAAAAAAGATATTTTTGTTTTATTTATTCCTGTACATACTTACATAGTGTGTAATTCGCTCATAGGACCTAGAAAAAGACAGACAATGACACCAAGGGTGCCTGAGTGGAGGAGACTCAGGGTAAGCATGTGGTATTCAATAAGCACTTGTGTTGTCTGCACTCCAATGAGTAAGTATTGATGAGTTATTGGGGAAATTAAAATTTTTAGAAAATAGTTTTTGATATTTTAGAGAAAGGAAGGGAGAAGAGAGAAACATCAATGTTAGAACAAAACATTGATCAGCTGCCTTCTGCATGACCCCTACTGGGGATCGAGCCCACAACCCTGGCATGTGCCCTGACCTGGAATGAAACCAGCATCCTCTTGGTGAAGGGGACAATGCCCAACCAACTGAGCCACACCATCCAGAGCAAGGGAATCAAATTTAAATACTTTGAAGGAGTTATGCTTTTATTCCCCCGCTGTCACTCTTTTCCTTTTCTCAAGTTTTGGCAAAATACAATATATTGCCCCCAAACAGCCACAGTGTTTAAGGGCATATTTTTCTCAGCATGATCTACCCATCTATATCTCTATACACAAGAAGTATTACCCTGCCCACAAGGGCTATGCGAGAAGAAACAATTACTGGATTTATAATTTTGACAAATAAATATAAAACTAGAGTGGTAAGGAATTATTTTATTTAAATACTAGTAGCCCTGCACACAAATTCATGTGCCAGTAGCTCTCTGTGGGGCCTGGCTGCTCCTCGCCCACCGTGGCTAGGGTGGAATGCTTGCCTCATTGCTGTGGCATTCCGCCAGGTCACTCACACTGCCCACTCTCAGCAGCTGTCCGCCCTGGGACTGGAGGACTCCAGTGGGGCGCTGCCATCTTATGGCTGTGGGCGCTGATATCTTTGTGATGGAGTGGCAATTAATTTGCATATTACTCTTTTATTGGATAGAATAGGTTAGAAAACTTTGTTTTTATTTTTCTGTTAATATTTTTCTCTATTTTACAATATTACAAAATGATCCATGTATTAACTGTCTAATTAGAGAAAAGTTTAAATCAGTGATTTCAAGGTGAATGACTTTATTCCCACTCCTCCCTGATGTTTGGCAATATCTGGAGATATTTTCATTGTTACAACTCGGGAGGAGGGGCTGCTACTAGCATCTAGCAGGTAGAGACAAGGGAGGCTGCTAAATATCCCATGAGATATAGGACAGCCTCCCATGACAGAATTATCTGGCCCAAAATGACAATAGTGCTGAAGTTGAGAACCCCTATTGTAAATACACCACACATAAGTAATATATTCCTACTGACGCTCTACTTACTTTGTTCGTTTCTTTGATTAGTTAATAGGTGGGAGGAGAGAGCCTGAGTTCGTACCTGAACAATGAACTGGTAGATCATGAACAGGCTGACCAGCATGGTGATGTTGGCCAACAGGGAGAAGATGGACAGGACTCGAAGGTTCCTAACGAAAACCAGCAGCACCAGGAATGGAAGGAAGGTGAGCATGTAGAGTCTCGAGTCCATGGTGGGTGTCAGAATCACCGTCTCATTGTTGTGGCAGTTGTTAGTGGTTCCATTGGCTGCTTCTATCACCTAGAACAAGGGGAAGACAAGAAACAGAAAAAGCCTTTCAAATGACCAAGGCCTGACTAACGGTTCAGCGTGTGAAAAAGGCCGTAGGGAAGTCTTTGGAAATCTTCATAATTATCATAGCTAGGTTTGATTATATCTTACCAAAAGATAGGAAGACGCACAAGGCCTTTTGAGTTTCTTGATACCCTTAGGTCTTTATATGAAATAAAACAAAAGACACTATTCTATGTAAAGTGTTCTATGAAAAGAATCTTAATTCTTTTGTTGATCAAAACTGGTTTTAATAAAAAGAAATGGTTTAAAAAAAAATCCTGAACAAAAAGTCCATTATCTCTTGCCATTCTTTCCCCCCACCCTCTCTATCCCGCTTCTTCTCCCAGCCCCTAGGGTCCTACCTGTTTAAAGTTGTCAGCCAGAAAAACAAAATAGACACAGCAGAATCCCAGCTGCGTGACAATCAGGAAGAAGTCCACAGTGTGCCTGAAGGTGGAGGTGGAAGAAATATGAAGATCATGATAAAAAGCAAGATTCCCTGAGAGATGTTTGAACACACTTTTGCCCCAGTCATCATAGACCCTTCTGATCAGGTGACAAGGATGAGTACGCCTGGTGAGAGGAGAAACTGTGCTAAATGCCACCAGTCTAGAGCTTTGGAGAAAGGTGAAGCAGGTGCTGCCTGTGTGGTTCCAAGGTCCCCTTCCCGGCTTCTTGTCAGGAAAGCTGCACGAGGCCAGACGAGCCTGAGACTGAATGGCCTGAGCAGAGCACATTAGGACCACTGCCCAACCCTTGGCGCCCCCTCCCCATGGCCCGCCTTGTCCCATCTCATACCATTTGTTCTACAGGGGCAGGGAACCCTCAATGTAACAACCAGGAAGTGTGGATCCCTTCACACGCTCTGTCTATAACTTGAATCCAAGAACCAATCTACTCTCACAGAAGTACACAGAAATAGATGTAACCAAACAGACTGCTGGTTGAAGCACTGTTACAACAGCAATAGCTGGTAACAATTTAAAAGATTGTCAAAAGAAAAGGATTAAATTATAGACCATTCTTAAATGAAAGAGTATACGGCAAGTAAAAAGCATATGTTAAATCTATACGGGCTGACAGAGAAATAACTAAAATCTTTAAGGGAAAAAATAAGTTTCCAAACATGTTTGAGAACATGTACATGTTTGTATATATACAGATATTCCAAAAGGATAACCATGCAACTGTCACCAGTATATATATCTTTACTTTTCACTTTATGTCCTTTTGGTCAAAATATTTTTTTAAATTTTATTAAAGCAAGGAAAGAAGGGAGTAAGAGGGTGAGTAAGGAAGGGAGCAGATGAGCCATGGGAAGAGAGGGAAAGAGGGAGATAAAGAGAGGAAAAAAGAAAGAAGAGGAGAGGGGAGGAAAAAAGAAGAGGAAGGAGGGAAGAATTAATCAACAACCAACCAATCAACCAACAGGGTCACTTGGCAATCTGGGTTCTCCCAAACACAGAAAATTATTTTGCGAAAGAATTACACAAAACTGCACCACAGGCAGAAGTTAATAATAACTGAGTGAAGGTGAAAGTCTCCCTGTAACCACATAAAGGAGTTTTTCTGAAGAACATAGTTTTAATGTGGTTCAAATTTTTTTTTTAAAGGACTCGGTCCTTGATAGTATTAATTCTCTACATCTAAATGCATTGTTTCCTCAAATAGAACACAAAAAGTAGGAAATATCCTGTCAGGCATCTGACAAGTTACCATAAGGAGAAATTTCCAAAATATGCCCCACCACCTGAAATATAAATCCATTTGTTCCAGCTGACCTCACTAGGTCACCTCACCTCCTCCTTGAAGCCTTCCTTCTCCTGCCCAGTGTCCTGCCCTTAAAGCACCTACCATGTGCACTTCTCATTTGGCACAGTGGATGAGAGAATTTGGAAAGCCTCTCCCTCTGAGTGTCTAAGATGTATTTATAGCTCAGGACACTCTTTCTGCTGGTTTATACTATTCCTGATAGTATTCCTAATAGTATAAACCAGCAGGTTTATACTATGCACAAGCTTGGGCACAAGCTTCTCACGCACCTTGTTCCTTAGAAAAACTGCAAGCCCCTGGAGTGCAGGGACCATAGTTTACCGCAGAGAATCCCCCCTCCACATACCTAAAATTGTTTTGTACCACTTTTTAAAGAGCGCTTATATATACTTGTTGAGCAATGAGGGAATTAATATAATCTCTGCTCACAGACTGTCAAAGCTGGAACAACCTATAGAGCTCTTTAAGGCCAGGACCCTTGTTTTACCAATGAGCAAACTGAGGCCCAGAGAAGGGAGGGATCACACAGCCCAAGGTCACAGAGATTACCTCTGAAAGGCTGAACTGGAACTCAAGTTCCTGACCCAAAAAAATGGTCTTTCTTACCCTCATATCTGAAGGCCTTACCACTGGGCAACCACAGCCCCAGTAAGAGAGGAAACCAGTTACCTTCCCCAGTGTGCATGGTTCCGGAGCCAGGAGATAGGGCTGGATTCCAGTCCGTACATCACTGTCTCCCCATAGTCCACAAAAGGCTTGTTTAGTCTGGGAGAAGGCAGGGAGAGCAGGAGGGAAGAGTGTGTGAGTTAGACAATGACAGAACAAATGCAGCTCCTTGAGACCTAAGCCAGTTCCCCATCTCTCACCCTGGAGATATCACTGAGTCCTGGGCCAAATGCTTCCAAGGATCAGAAGTAGCAAGTCAATGGCACAGTTACTTTCATTATAATTGACAACCATCTGGCACAATCATTTCAATGGGTAAATATAAAATTATAATTTACTTCTGTCCACTGCACCTAATTTGACAGATGACACATGATGAAAAAAAGGACACAAAAATAACAGGGCAATGTTAATCAGCAACTACCTTCAGGTAGCATAAAAAATTTAGAGTGATCTGTGTAAGTGCTCACTTTCAGGTAATGAAACCTAAAGGGACAATCTGTCACTCAAGAGGCAGCTCATGCCCTGGCCGGTTTGGCTCAGTGAATAGAGCATCGGCCTGTGAACTGAAGAGTCCTGGGTTTGATTCTGGTCAAGAGCACATGCTAGTGTTGCAGGCTCAATCCCCAGTAGGACTGAGAGATTCCTTCTCATCATTGACATTTCTATCTTTCTCCCTCTCTCTTCCTCTCTGAAATCAATAAAAATATATTTTTAAAAAAGAGGTAACTCAGAGGGCTCTCACCTGTGGCAGAAGTGGTGAGCACATTTCACCAGGATACCCATGCAGTGCACGGCCACGATGCCTATCACCAGCAGGCTGAGGGGACCCATCTGGGGACAGGTGTTGCGGGCAAGAGAGGGAGAGACAAGCAGCGACAATTAGGAGTGAGCCAACAGAGACTGGATTTGCACATGATCACAATGCTACTCCACTAAGGTACTTTCCAATGACAGAAGTTCTGACACAGCACTGAAAACAGAAATGTGAGCATGGATATTAGCTCAGTGAGATGAGCATCATCTGAAACTTAGCATGCCTTCCAGAGAATTAACCTTGTGGAGAATGACACAAGATAAGGCTGTTCCAAGACTGTGGCCAATCAGTAAAACAGAAGGCTCCTGTGTCTGGGAAAAAGAGATGGGTTTACGAGTGTGGGAAGAAGGCAGTATCATCAGTTTATGTTGTTCATTAGGGGGGATGGAGGGTAGTGGGGGAATAAGGACAAATATTTAACACCTTAATCAATAAAGAATTTTTTTAAAGCAGTATCAGATCAAGAAAGGATAGCCTTTAGCTAAGGACAACTCACATCTCTGAGCTATCCCCAACTCTAACAAAAACCAGAATGGCTTTGGACAGTCAGTCTATAGGGAGTGAATCATAAAAGGAAAATATTCTCAGAGTTGGCCATTTAGAGATGGGGTGTGGAAGAACTGTGTAGAAAATGGACAGACTTCTGTTACTAACTCATTAGTTTACATTATTGATAAAAAATGCCTGAGACATTTTAAGTACATCCTTCCCACCAGAATTTAAGCTCCCTGAGGGCAGGAATCTATGTCTGTTTTATTCACTGATAGCATCCTAAGAGCCTAAAACAATACCTGGCACACTTAAGGCCTTCAATAAATATCTGTAGATAAGTGAACATCTGAATTTTGCTTTTTCTCAGCTGATATGTTTTTTTAAAGCTTCCCATTATAATGTTTTAAATAAAGTAAACTTATTTTTTAAAGATCCATTTTATTCTAAGATTGTCATGAAACTTCCCTCCACTGATGCAGACCCTTACCAAGATGCCTGCATTTTTCACTGCCAGGGGCAGTCCCAGGAGTCCTGTGCCAATGTTGCCTTTTAACAGGTGGATCAAGGTCTGGAACCATCTGAAGTGGGAAGAAGGTAGACAAGCACATGTTAAGAACAAGAACTAACATTTATTAGGCATTTAGTACTGTGTTAAGTGCCTTCGTATGTTATTACCCCATTCAATTTCCACAACAACCCTATGAGACATGTTTTAACTTTATTTTATGGTTGAGGAAATAACTTGCCCAAGGTCACATACCTGGTAAATAATTGAACCAGGTTTCACACTCAGGCAGTCTGTTCCCCAAACTCACTCTCCTAGCCACTGGGCTATAAGGTCCATTCCCTGCGGCATCTCTGAGAACCCTCTCTTTCTTGGAGATTATACCAGAGTGGCAGTAGGGATCTCTCTAGGCACTGTATCCTTTCCTAGTGTATCTGGGCCTGGTTTTCACCACAGGCCCATTCACTGTAAAGAATCAGAACCCACACTGTAACAGGATGACAAGCTTAACTGCAAAGGACAGACACTAGTATCAAAGAATAGGAAAAATAAAAAAGAGAAGCCCAAAACCCTTAACAGAAAATTTTATGGAGGGAATTTTCATGCTTACATGAATTTTCCTTATGCTTGTATTAAAGTTTTTCTCCTGTTTAAAAAAAAAATTTTTTTTGACCTGGCCCATGAAACTCAGTGGTTAGAGCACTGCCCTATGAACTGGAGAATCTTGGGTTTGATTCCAGTCAAGGGCATATACCTGAATTGCAGGTTTGATCCCTCATCCCAGTCGGGGGCATGTGCAGGAGACATCCAATCAATGTCTCTCATTATTTCTCTCTTCCTCCCCTCCCTTTCCCTTCCCTCCCAATCTCTTTAAAAATAAATCAACGGAAAAAATATCCTCTGGTAAGGATTAATAAAACAAAACAAAGTGAACAGAATAAAAGTCATGCAGTACCACAACAGGCCAGAAATCCCTGGCATACTTCACTTTAAAAAACAAATTAATAAAAACAGTTTGCCATAGAGCAGCAGTCGCCAACCGGTGGTCGACAGAGGTCCGAAAGGTTGGTGACAGCTGCCATAGATCCAAGGGGTGGATAAATCCTAGTTAGTCACCTAGTTTCCTTCTGCCTTGAGGGCAGAGTTTTCCCTCACCTATTATCCAGACTGTTCCCCTCAGAGGTACAATTATAAAGCCTCTTATAGCCTCATTTCTCATCAAACTGCTATCATGTGTAAAACACTGTGTTAACTCAGTGAAGGAAATAAGTAAGAATCAGATATGGACCTCGGTCTCTAGAAGCTAACAATGTCGCAAGGTAGAAAGATCCCGATCTGAAGAAAAGCCAGGAACAATGCCCAGGGAGGAGGCAGGTGAGGGCTCAAAAGGGAGAGATCTGAGCAGAGTCCAGCAACACAGGCAGGGTCTGTAAGTGCCAATAAGGAAGAAAGGCCTGGGAACACAAGCCTAGAGAGAAAAACGCAGGGCACCAACCTGAAAGAATGCCTTGGTTCTGAGGCCCCTGGGGGGGGGGGGGGGGATGAGGATGGGCAAGGAATTTCTACTTTTTCCCAGGGGAATGGGAACTTGTCAAAGGACTGACAGAGCAGAGGCCTCATCTTCAGCATTTTCTATTCTTCTGTTATTTCCAGAAGGACCAGGTCATATATGGTATGGCTTTTAACCAAATCACAGACTCACTCAAGATTTAGCCCCTGGCACTGTCTTAAAATTCTTCTGTACAAATAACCTAAATCCCTCCTAAATGTTGCTTACACATGTCTTCAAATGTGCAATTTAGTAGAAACAGAAAGCAAACAACATGTTATTTGACCATATTACACTGATCTTTACCCTCTAGAAAGGAAATTTTATTTTTTGTAACCTTTCTCCTTTTGCCTCCAGGAAGAAAACCTCTCTAATGTCCTACTGTCCCCAAGCTTTTCAAGAAAAATCGAGGATCCTGCTTCAAGTCTAAAAATAAGAGGCTGAGTGCTCTTCTGGACTACTGTGAGGAAAAAGCTTAAGGACCAGACTACAAGGTTCCAAGAGTGACTCTATCATCAGCAGCCAGTGACCAAGAGATCATGGGCAGGATGATGGGCCAATCAAATTTCTATCTTGACAAAATAAGAACTATACCAAACCTATATGCCTCCCAGAGCCCTCCCCTAAAAGCTTAAGCTGGTTTTTATGAGACCAGGTCCCTCTAGCCCTGGCTCTGCCACTAACTCCACATGACAATTCCCTTCTCCCTTCACTGGGCTTGTTTCCTCTTCTGTAGAGTGAGGAGACTGGACTAGAAAAACATACTCTCCAAGGTCCCTTCAGCTCTGAAACACCAGGTTTCGAAGCAAATGACCAAAATTACTCTTTTTATTCAATGACCCCAAGTTAAGATTACTCAAAACCATGTCACAAAATCAACTCTAAGGGACTGCAAAGTCTTAATTATGGAGGTGGAGGGTGGAGGGGACAGGGAGGCAAATAACATCTTAATAAGCCTTACAAATCTTTCTGGTTCTGTTTATGTTCCAAATCAGTAGTTCTTAAGACTTTTTGGTCTCAGGATCTCTTAATACACTTATAAATTATTGAAGATCACAAATAGCTTTAGCTTATATGGATTATGTTTATGGATATATACTATATTACAAATTAAAACCAAGAAATTATACAAATATTTATCAAATTACAATAAGCATCAGAGGAGACAGAATAAATGTTAATATAAATAAATAACATATTTTTAATGAAAAGTAACTATTTTCCCAAAAATACAATGCAGAAGTATTTTGTATTTTCCCAAAATACAAAATACTTCTACATTCACTCTGCTGCAATATGTTGTTTTGGCTGAAGTATAGAGAAAGTCTCTCCTCACACAGACGCGTAGTTGGAAAATGAAGGAGTATTTTAATTACCTCTTCAGAAAACTGAGGTAATTTTTCTTTGATACTACACCAAAACTCGACATGTGGTCACTTCTTGGAAGCTGTAATGTGGAATCTGAACTTTTTATCCTCTATTACATTAAAACCCATTTCGCTTTTTGAGTGACCTTTCACCCATGCAAAATGTTCTAACATCACACTTTGGTCATTTGGAAGATATTGGTTCTCTGGGATACATAGACCTTCCAAATGCTGACATATTATCTTATATAACAAAAAAATCACATGTATGAATATCATAGCTGATCTCATCAGACAATCTTTAAGTAGAGGGAAACCATCCAGGTCACAGGGCTAGAGACAAGTTTTTTGTTTTTTTTCTTTTTTCTAATTTTGAAAGCGCAAATTTTATTGTAAACAACAAATACTATTGACTTTTTTTCTTGAGGTGACAGTCTCCTTGTGATGGGACCATGATACCCGCCATCACTTACAGATAGGCTTTTGGGTCACCTACCTTGTATCACAATATGAGGGCAGGATCCCCTTAGAACAAAGTATACCCCAGAAAATGTCCCAATAAAATACCTAAGGAAAGTATCTTCTTATTCGCTCAATTTCCAATAAACAAGGGTAAATACTGTGAGGTTGACTACTAGTTATAACCCAATGTGAATAAAGGAGATACTCAGAATAGCTAACAGGCATGCATTAGCTTCAATACATATAAACCTATCAGCTACCATCCTGAAGCAGCTAGCTAGTTGGTGTTGAACTTCAGAAACATCCCTTTAAAAATGAAAATCTAGACTGTCTGGTAAGCATTGCATGGACAACAGTTGAGAACAAGGAGCAGAAACTGGAAGGGAAACTATAGAGAGAAAAACTTGGAAGAAATATTTCACAATAATGAGTGTGACTTCTGAGGGGAAGCTATCACATGTCATTGGCTGCATTTGGAGCTCCTTCTGCCTGGGGGAAGCCAATTGGGTGGAAAGGTTAAGGGGAAAGAGAACAATGTTCTTCATTGCTCCAAGTTGTGCTCCAAGTATCTTTTCCATCAGCTAACAATGGAGAAAAAGTGAAAGAGAGAGAGAGAGAGAGAGAGAGAGAGAGAGAGAATATTAGAATATTACATGATAAAGAAGCTGTAGAGTGTGAAGCTTCCTGAGCTGAAATCAGCTAGTGGAGGAGATCCTCCAGTTCTATCTAGTTCACTGCAGAAAGAGCCCTACACTGGGAGAGACTACAGCCAGAGGAGCTTCACTAGCAATAGCTTCCAAGAGAAACTCCTATGGTCTCCTTGGGCAGTCACAGGAGACAGAATAAATATATGATCAAAGGATGCCTCAGTAAGTCATACTTAATCCATAAACGAACACAAAAGGGTGATGGCTAAGCTTGAGGAATAAACATAAGGACTGCAAAAGATGGGATGCTGAGATCCCAAGAAAATGTCAGGGGTCTGCTGAGAATCTACTAGTAGTTAGCGAGAATTTAATGGAATAGAAAATGCTCCTCTGAATTTTCTAATTTGAGTGGAGAATACCAAACAGTAAGCATAGCTTCACAGTGAGGTCCTCAATGTTAACTTACATTTGGGGGAACTGAGGCCCAAAGAGGACCAAACTCAGCCCAGATGAGATGGGATTCAGTTTCCAAGGATGAAACCTAAGCCCTTCTTAGAAATGCAAAGCAGATCTCCTCTTCTCTATAACCCCCTTGATTTTTTTTAAGTGCAGAAGTTATTCCTCCCTTTTCCTACTCCTTCAGCCAGATGAACTGGCTGTTTGGTGACAGGGACAGAAGTCTGGAGGAGACTTTGCAAAGGAGGCTTCCAACTGGGCTTGGAGGTACTTGAGGTTCTAGCCCAGAAGACCCTTAGTTCTAAATTAAGAGATTGTTCTTTCTACAAGTTTTTCTTATGTTTATGCTCTTAGTCTTCTAGGACCAATACAGCTGTAATGAACAAAGAATAAGAAACAAACTACAGCCGAAACCGGTTTGGCTCAGTGGTAGAGCATCAGTCTGCGGACTGAAGGGTCCCAGGTTCGATTCCGGTCAAGGGCATGTACATTGGTTGTAGGCACATCCCCGGTGGGGGGTGTGCAGGAGGCAGCTGGTCGATGTTTCTCTCTCATTGATGTTTCTGGCTCTCTATCTCTCTCCCTTCCTCTCTGTGAAGAATCAATAAAATATATATATTTTTTTAAAAAGTCAGAATTTAAGAAAGGAAGGAAGGGAGGGAGGGAGGGAGGGAGGGAGGGAGGGAGGGAGGGAGGGAGGGAGGGAGGGAGGGAGGAAGGAAGGAAGGAAGGAAGGAAGGAAGGAAGGAAGGAAGGAAGGAAGGAAGGAAGGAAGGAAGAAAAGAAAGAAAGAAAGAAAGAAAGAAAGAAAGAAAGAAAGAAAGAAAGAAAGAAAGAAAGAAAGAAAGAAAGAAAGAAAGAAAGAAAGAAAGAAAGAAAGAAAGAAAGAAAGAAAGAAAGAAAGAAAGAAAGAAAGAAAGAAAGAAAGAAAGAAAGAAAGAAAGAAAGAAAGAAAGAAACCACAGAGTGGCAGTTAATTGCCCAACCTCTTATTTTCATCTATAGAGTGGGGGAACTGGTAAGATGGGGAGCAAAAATAACTCCAAGGAAGGCTATGTTACTGATATAAAACTGAGGGATGTGATTCTCCCCCAGGAGATAAAAGAAACAGTTACTTACGTTGTTCTGCTGCTCTCCCCAAATCGCTGGTAGGAGCCCGAGGAAGAGAAGTTGTTCAGACCTTCAGATGGGCTCTCTTCTGGACTCACATCAGTGGAGCTGTAGTCAGCATAGTCCTCATTCCGAAGTCTCTGTGTGGACATGGTAGCTGTGGGGGCAGAGTCAGTGCTAAGACTTCCTTTGGCTGGGGCCTTAAGCTCCACGACTGGGGTGGGCTCTGGGGCAGAAGCAGCCATTGTCACAGTCGCTCAACGTGGCTGCACTATGCAGTAAGTGCAAATGCAAGTGCTTGGATTTATGAAAATAAAAAAGGTGCAAAGTTCACATGGGCAGGCTGAGTTGACTCAGCTTTTACCTCTCTGCCTTGCCAGTTGGTGCCACACTTATATGTTTCTAAATTTGTCCCAGCACACCTGGACTGAGCAGAGGTGAGGCATACTTGGGAGAAGTAGGCGAAGAGGCAAACAGATGATTCCAGGAAGCCTTCCCAGTTCCATAGGGCCAATGAACTATCCTTTTCTTTGAGCTAATTTCTTGGACCCTGAACAACAGTTAAATTGTATGTATTTCCATTTTCCCCAAGAGCAAGCTCTCAGAGGACAGAAACCTGAATATTCTATTTTTCCTCTGCATTCATTAGAGAAAGGACCTTGCTGCATTCAAGAAATGCCCTCCAGATCCTCCAGTTCTGCTCAAACTCCTCCCCAGGTCCTAGAGCCACAAATGACTTCCCTTTCTCTTTGCTATGAGCTCTGGCATATCCTATATTCTTTGGAGGTCATCAGTGACTCTCATCCCCTGACCCTAGGACTCTTTGCTTGTAACCAAACCTGAATACTGAGAAAATGGCAGCTAAAAGCAGCACAGAAGAAAACCAGGAGCATGAGATGTGCTCACCACTGGCCTTTGTGTCAATAGCTGCCTTCCACAATGCCTCTTCCTTTTTATTTTATAGATTTGCCAATATTTTGAAGATGGCGAAAGAAGAAACCCTTCCCGTTGTGCTGGGAAAGGATGGTGAGGGTGGTGTTCCCTGGGTGCCCTTTCTCAGTAATGCTATTACCGAAAAGAATGATGACTTCTCTAAGATACATAATGAGGATACATTTGAGAGTCGTATAGACTCCAGAATCCTAGAGGCTGTTGTTAAAAGAGCCTTCAGAGGTCACTCCAGCTGCTCATTTTACAGATGAAGAATCAACACCCCTTTTCCCTCCCCCCGGGGGAAAAAGAAAAAAGATAAAGGAGCCTGCTCTGCTACAGCCAGGTAGGAGCAAAGCAATAAATGTATCTCCTGACACTACCTGAATCTGAAAACATCTACTGAATACAGTGCCAGTTATAGTGAGGGAATATTATGATGAAAAAGATTCAACTTCCTGCTCTCCAAGAATTGCAATCAAGTGATAAAAGGTACATGGATATTAAAATTACAAATAAAAATCCTCCTGACGCTTTGCAGACTGGCACAACTGCCTGCCTATAAGCGGCTCCCCCCCAGCATGTTGGCTGGATGTTCACCCTGAGTCTGCTGTGCTATCTCAGAGACATGGTGAGGAGACAGGACCTCTGACGGCCATCACAACATGCCTTCCACCTGTCACCCAACAGTGCCGAAGGATAGCTCTGTAGTGAGTGCTCCCACAGGTCCAGTCCCAGGACTTTTCAGAAACTATCCCCACCCTGGCACCTGAGTGATCCAGGTGGCCTCATTTTTCCCCACCGACTGTAATTACATGGAGATGGCACCCCATGGAATCTCACAAGGAAAGTGCTTGGTAGAAAGCCAGTTTAAGGGCTTGAAAGTCCCAGAGAGGATCGTGCCTACCTTCACCACCAGAGCAACTTTTGCCAAATATCTAACAGGGCGTCCTTCATTCACAGGCTGGAAGAATTCAAGAAAGTCTTCTAGTTCTGGGGCAGTTAAGTTCATAAAGGGGCCGGGGGCAGGGGGGATTATGAAGTAGTTAAAAGCTACTGTTCAGGCAAAAGTAAATAAGCTACTTTCTATGTAATTTAGAAGACCTGGATTCTAATGTTGCCTTTATCACTAACTTGCTTAGTAATTTGGAACAATTCTCTTTATGTCTGTGGTCTTTTTCCCCAAACATGCAAAAAGGGGAAGGGGTGAACTAAAATCTCTCTCAGTGACTCTCTAGTTCTAATATTGTAGGAACCAGCTAGTCTAACTATTTATGCAAGCAACAGATAATTTCCAGTCTCCTCCAATATACCAAAAGTGTCTGAGGAACAGGGCTTTCCAACTGCATCCTGCATGTTACTGCGGGAGAAGAGTCAGTATACAAACTTTCTCCATCGGGTTCCCCGATCCTTCCCCATCAACCAAGAAACCACTCTGTTGCTTTCTTGGTACAAATGCTCATTTCAAGCACTGGAAGGTGACTTTTCGTATTGTGTATAAAAGCTGCAGTTACCCACCCACAGCAGATTATTGTTAAGAAACTGCTCAAAAAGAGGCTGACATCTATAGATCTAAAGTCCAAGAAACAAGGGCGGGATGTGGGAGATGTGGCTTGACAATTGTGTGAATGTTGAAAAGGGGGGGAAAAATGTTACTTATATTTTAGTTGCTAAGCTTCATAGAAGTCAGTGATATAATAATAAGCCAATGTAATTCTAGGTTACACTAGGAAACCCCATGCAGATGATATAGCACTGTTCGGTTTGCTATGCATGGTATTTCGGGTAGCAAACTATAAAAGGCAGCAATGGCAAACTGTGGTGCAGCCAGGGGTCAGCAGCAGGATGGGAATGAAAGCCAACTCTGTGAGGAATAGTTGGAAACACAGAGAAGGCTCAACCTGGAGGCATAAAAACTGCCATCAGAAGCTGTCCTATGGATAAGACTTGTTCTGCGGGGCCTCGAAGGTCGGTCAGAAATAGAATCAGGAGGTGGAATGTGAAGGGAGGCAAGTGCTTAGAAGAACCTTCTATCAAAAGGAGTTGTCCAGCCGAGACCGGTTTGGCTCAGTGGATAGAGCGTCGGCTTGGGGACTTAAGGGACCCGGGTTCGATTCCAGTCAAGGGCATGTACCTTGGTTGCGGGCACATCCCCAGTAGGGGGTGTGCAAGAGGCAGCTGATCGATGACTCTCTCTCATCGATGTTTCTAGCTCTCTATCTCCTCCCTTCCTCTCTGTACAAAATCAATAAAATATATTTAAAAAAAAAAAAAAAAAAAAAAAAAAAGGAGTTGTCCAGGTGGAATGGTTTGCTCTGGGAGGCAGTGTGTTTCCTATCCCTGGCAAAGCCCAAGCAGAAACCCTCCTGAGAGATATTAGATAGGGATTTAAGCAGTCACTCCCTAAAGTTCCTTCAAGCAACTAAGGCTCCTCTTCTTGCTTTCTAGCTCTCCCCACTGAGTGCTAGCCTGCAAGGTCACCCTGCCCCTGGGCTCCCTTTGATGAAACCTGGTTTCCAAGTCTACTCCTGCAATAGACAGTTCCTGTTTTGTGGGAAGTTTTAACAGGAGAACCTATTGACTGTCAAAATGAGGGGTTGTAACATGTGAGAGTTCAAGACAAGCTTGTCCTTCACATCCTTGAGGACAGTGAACATTATATGTGGCCCATCAATGCAAAGTCAAAATCTCCATAAGATATTTAGGTCCAAAAGAGTGAACTACTAAGTAAGAAAAGGCTGTTAGTGGTTAGTCAATCACCTACTTCTGGAAGGTGTTATCAGGACCATGCTAGCAAAAATAGATCCCCATGCCCTAACTGGTTTGGCTCAGTGGATAGAACATTGGCCTTCGGACTGAAGTGTCCCAGGTTTGATTCCAATTAAGGGCATGTAGCTTGAGTGCAGGGACATCACCAGTAGTGGGTGTGCAGGAGGCAGCTGATCAATATTTCTAACTCTTTATCCCTTTCCCTTCCTCTCTGTAAAAAATCAATAATATATATATATATTTTTTAAATAGACCCAAAGTCTATTCACTGGACTCAGTTCTAGGATCTTGCTTCAGGTCAAGGTGTGAAGAAGTGTATTATTAACAGCAATGATTCTTCAGCGTCTGACCCTCAAAGACACAAGCATGTAAAAAAGAGGTACTCACTGGGAGGGGGTGGAGGGGTTGAAAAGAAAAGAAAAAGCAGGAGTACTTAACTGTGAGAACAGTTATCTGAAGCAAGGGGGAAAATAAAGCATTCCTGAAAGTAGACATCTATCTATTCTATTTCATATCCCACATCCTAACTGCACAGAACCTCTGAATTGGGAGAAAACTTAAAACTTTCAATAGTCCAACCATCTACCCAACACAATCTTCTAATCTTCAACATCCCCAAAACTAACTGCCCCTTGATAATGAGCTTCGGTGGCAGGGAACTCCACGCTGTACTGTGATGTGAGAGAGCACTAATTCTTTCAGAGTTCTTATGCTCACTCACAAACCACTTCCCTTACAGCACTTCCATCCTTGTAATCTCCAGACTATTGCAAAAGAAATGGAACCCACCTCCTTACTCTGCCTTTAAAGGCAGAATAAGGACAGATCAAGGACAGATCTGAGCACTTCAAGTTGGCACAGGATGAGGCCGAATGAACAGTCAAGAGAAAATAAGGACCCAAGAGCAGGCAATTATAAATGACATCATCGGAAAACAAAGGGAGAAAAACTTAATGCCATCATCAAAGCAGCCTCCGAGGCTTACAGCCTTCATCCCAGGCAATGGGTCTCGGGCACAGAGCAAATGACCAAAGCCTTTTGGGTCCTCTTGCTTCCTGACTTTAAGAACATCTTTAAAGAAAATGTGTTCTAGCCATGGCCAGCTGGTTCTCTTCCCATACACCAAAAGGTTGCAGGTTCGATTGCCGGTCCGAGCACATACCTAGGTTTTGGATCTGATCCCCTAGGTTTTGGGGGTGCATATGGGAGGCAACCAATTGATGTTTCTCTCTCATATCAATGTTCCTCTCTCTCTCTCCTTCCTTTCTCTCTAAAATCTATAAACATATCCTCAGTGAGGATTAAAACAATAAGAAGATAGAAAATGTGCTGTAAATGTACAAGTTGATTACTGTTGACTACACTCTTGACAAGAGTCAAAGAGGGCCTTGATCTTATTTAAAGAAAAAAAGACAGTCCAACTCATTTTCTGCTGTCATCATTTAGCTTGGCC